CATGCTGATATTCTGTGCAGTCTGGGTCACTTTTATCCCAGCATATGTCAGCTCTCCTGGTAAATTTACTGTGGCTGTGGAGATATTGCCCATTCTGGCCTCCAGTTTTGGACTCATGTTGTGTATTTTTGCACCAAAGTGTTTCATCATATTGTTTCAGCCGGAGAAAAACACAAAGAAATATTTAATGAACAAAACTTAATGCTAGATTATCTGACAATCGAATGGATTTTTACTCAAATTATTAAAGTCAAAAAGGGGAAACAAAGAGATCTGGTTTCTTATGTGCGTTCTCGGCTAAAAACACATTAACGTCCATTTTGATAAATGTACCCACTGGCACAATGTAAATATCCGCTATGTCTATATGCAATCTCTGCTTCAATTCATCTCATTTAGAATAATAGCATATTAGTCTCAATAGTCTCACTCCAACATTTTTACACTTTCAAAGAACTGTTTTAAACATCTGATTCTGCAGCTTTCCGATTTAATTTGTAAAAGAAACAAACTACATTTTGGCTGCAAAATCAAAGTTCAATAGGAAATTTCATGAGGTGCACATTACACTTGTTTATCTACTTTATTAACATTTTAACTGTTGTCACCTTTAATGTTTCGCTAATTTCAATGTATTTTTGTGGAAATCCTTTTAAAATATTTAGTTGTCTCATTTTACAAATATTGTTGTACTACGGCATAATATCTATAGAATAAAGTAAAAAGAAAAGTATGAAGAAAAACAATGTAAATATGTGTTTCTTTCATTTATTCAATTAACAATTTAACTACACAAAAATCCATAAGTGATTGACGTTTGTTGGACCTAACTGTAACATGAGGTGAAACAAAAAAAAAGGTGTAATTATGTAAGAACATATTCAGTGTTGGTCATTTTATTATAAGAGAAGGAGTCAAAAAATAAATTATATTCTAAGAAAGGCTCACAGAAAGGCCCATGAGAACATCCTCTCTGTGACGTAGAGAAAGCTGACGTACAATCTGAGGCAAGCTTCGCTCTGAAAATCTATATAAAGCAGTAAAAACACATGAGGACCGTAGAGGGATGGAGATGTTTTCTCTGTTCGTTGGTCTGATCGTGTCGCTGGGTTTGTATGAGCGGAACTCAGCTCTTGCTTTGCCTGGTTCTGGGGACGGAGTAAAACAAAGGGCCGGGCTTACAGAGGACAGGACTGTTGTTGGAGTCAGCGATGAGGGCTCATCTGGGGAATGTAAGCTGCAGGGTGCCACTCGTCAACCTGCAATCTCAATGGATGGTGACTACGTTGTTGGTGGTGTTTTGTCCATACACCACTACACATACACAGTGAAAAATAACTACACCACCATGCCTGATCCAATAAGATGCTCAGGAAGGTTACTAGGAGAGAGAAGTGCAAGCTAAGAGGATGTACTCAAGATGGAAATAGTGTTATTTTTACAGTGCTAATCATTCTATAAAGCAGATTTTTTACTTGAAAGGTAAACCAAGAAGTTGTTGTTGAGTTTTGATCTAATGTGTTGAATTTGTTCCTTGATGCACTTTTGGTTCCCGTTGGAAGTGCAGCTATTATTGTCAATAACTCTAAATTGAAGATGTTCTTAATTGACTATATTTATTTTGCAGTATCAACTCCCTTGAACTGCGTTTCTTGCGCACTATGATCTTCGCCATCGAGGAGATCAACAACAGCACGAAACTGCTGCCGGGCATCAAACTTGGTTATAAGATGTGCAACAACACTGTGCAACAAACTAGACGAAATTCAGCTGCTGGTGAGGAGAGACAGAGACTTTTCTACATCCTCCGTTTTGTGCTTCACAGAGACGTGGCTCTGCGGATCGATACCGGACTCCGCGCTCCAGCTGGCGGGTTTCCAGCTGTTCCGAGCGGACCGCGGACACTGTTCCCCTGATCTGGAAACTTTCTTCATCAGCTGCAAACCTTTTTATTCCCCCCGTAAGTTCGCTTTATTCGTCCTGGTCGGTGTTTACATGCCGCCGGCGGGCAACGTGCACGAGGCACGTCATGGTCCATCTGATTCCTGCATACAGGCAGAAACTAAAGCCCTGCAAACCTGTGGTGAGGGAATTCAAGAACTGGACCAGTGAGGCGCTGGAGGATCTTCGGGCGTGCTTTGACTGCACAGACTGTGATGGTTTCAGGGCTGCTACTGACAGTCTGGATGAGTTCACAGAGGCTGTAACTTCCTACATTGGCTTCCGTGAGGACAGCTGTGTACCATCATGCACCAGGGTGAGTTACAACAACGACAAACCCTGGTTCACAGCGGAACTCAGAACACTACGCCTGCAGAAGCATCAGGCATTTAGGAGTAAGACTTGTAGACAAAGTCAAAATACAAGTTTAGCAAGGCGGTGAGAGATGCTAAACGACTGTACTCTAAGAAACTCCAACAACAGTTCTCAGCAAGTGACTCTGCTTCAGTTTGGAGAGCCCTCAAACACCTCACTAACTACAAGCCAAAAAAAAACCACTCCATGAATGATCTCCGCCTGGCAGACGAGCTGAATGAGTTCTACTGCAGATTCGAAAGACAATGTCCTGATCCCATCCCCCACAGCTCCACCAAACTGCCCCAGTCCCCCTTCCCTCCCTCCCCCACACCTCTTCATCTATATCACCTTCCCCTCCCCCACCAGCAACGACCCTCTCTATTCTGGAGAGAGACGTTAACCGGCTCTTTAAAAGACAAAATCCCCATAAGGCAGCCGGCCCGGACTCCGTTTCCCCTCACACCCTGAAGCATTGTGCTGTCTCCAGTATTCACTGACATCTTCAACACCTCCCTGGAGACATGCCACATACCAGCCTGCTTCAAGGCCTCCACCATCATCCCTGTTCCCAAGAAGCCCAGGATCACAGGACTCAATCGAACTACAGGCCCGTCGCCCTGACCTCTGTAGTCATGAAGTCTTTTGAACGACTAGTCCTCACCCCCCTGAAGTCCCTCACCGACCCCCTCCAGGACTCCCTGCAGTTCGCCTACAGAGCCAACAGGTCTGTGGATGATGCTGTCAACATGGCCCTCCACTACATCCTCGAGCATCTGGACTCCCCAGCAACCTACGCCAGGATCCTGTTTGTTGACTTCAGCTCTGCCTTCAACACCATCATCCCGTCTCTGCTGCAGGACAATCTCTCCCAGCTGCACGTGCCCGACTCCACCTGCAAGTGAAAAAATTCAACCTGCCAAAGATGGTTCACTTTTACAC